AAATTCCATTGGGAGGGGACTGGGGCTGTAGCTGTAGCTCAGTGGTAAAGCACTTGCCTCACATATGTGAGGCATTGAGTTTGATCCACATAAAAATAAATAAAGATACTGTGTGTCTATCTACAACTAAAAAAAAAAAAAAAATTAAACTGGGAGGCACTGAGGGTATGCTCAGTGGTAGAGTACTTGCCTAAAATGCACAAGGGCCTGGGTTCAATTCCCAGCATCATTAACTAACTAAATAAATAAAATAAAGCTGGGTGTGGCACACACCTTTAATCTCAGTGATAGGAAGTCTGAGGCAAAAGGATCATAAGTTTGAGGCCATCCTCAGTGATTTAGCAAGACTCTATCTCAAAATAAAAAAGGGCTGTGAATATAGCTCAGTAGTAAAAAGCCCCTGGCTTCAATCCCATAACCAAAATAATAAAAATAGCAAGAAGAACATGAGAATAATTTAATTGGGAGAAGGCCCACAATAAGAAGTATGACAGTAAGGTTCACATGGCCTCAGAAGAGAGATTCATCCCATATATAAACTTCCATTTGTCCCTGACGATAATAGCTCCTGCATGACTTTTGTCTTTTTTTTTTTTAATGATCCCTTCTCTCCAGCAGCCAAAACATAAGACCAACAAATGCTCCTACCCCAGAATTTAAATGCTGCACAAGTGATGAAAAGATGAAGTGATGGTCAGAACTCACTCATAAGAGGGGTTGTATCAGTGTCTGGCCACAGCAGGGACAGTAAACATTTTTTTGTCTTCATATTTTTTATTGGTGCATTATAATTATACATAATGGTGGGATTCATTGTTACATATTTGTACCTGCACACCAGTAAACACTTCTTGATAAAAGACAGCTGCAGTGATTCCTGTTTCTTGGGCCTGCATTGTCTTGGCCTTGGTTCATTTTCTGACTTTGATTCCTCAGTGTTGAATTGATGTTATGAGCCCAAATATCTTTCCACCAAGAATACAAAAGGTAAAAAATTCCACCAAGAATACAAAAGCTAAAAGATACCCCCAAAGAAGGGAGATTGACACTGAATAGTCAAAAACTGTAATAAATGGTTCACTACATCTTCCTACTTTCTTTTAGTGTTATTTCCATATATTTAAAACTTCTGAGTTTCCATTACACCTTTGATTTCTCTATTCCTGACACCCCGGTGCTGAGGAGAGTCATAGGATGTGGCCTCCACTCTTGTTTGGGATTTGATTCCACATACTTACAATGGGCATCTGTTGAAGAGTTTGTTTTCCCTGCAGTGTTATCTCTGCTGCTTCTACAACCCTCTACTGCTGTGGGTGTTATAGTGGCTTCATCCTATTCCTTAGAGTTGCAATTTCTGCTTTGTGGGTGAGTTCTCCTTTTATTTACATTCCTGGACCCACTGAAAAATTTCTCCTACACCAGTTCAGTGTTCAAAAAGCCAGCCCAAGATTTGAATTTTATGTTGTTTATTCTTTGTGTGATGCTGGGATCAAAACCAAAGCTTTGCACATGATAGGCAAAAGACTCTTCAGCGCTCTTCCAGAAGAATTAGTTCTAAACCTCCTATTGCTTTGGGAAAGTGGGTGAAGGGTGAGAACATCACTGTGGAATGTCAGGAATGAAAGATGGTACATTTTGGTTCTTAAGTTCAAAAGCTGTTTGTGTATCATGAAGCAAAAAAAAAAAAAATTAAGAAAGTAGATAAGGGGCTGTAGGCATAGGCCAGGCATGTGATAGAGCCTAGCATGCATGAGTCCCTGGGTTTGACACAGAATCCCACCCACTACACACAGAGAGAATTATAGAAAAGTTGTATTTTATATACACCAGAACTTGCAGGATCCTGAGAGTGAGCACCTGTTTACTTACATTGTACATATAAGTACCTCAATTACCTCACCCTAGTTCCATTCAGCTGTGCTTTCTATTTGCTGTTTTCACAAGGTACTTTTTTTTTTAACCATTTCAAATTTATTATATGGACATTAAATGGACAGCCAGAATAACTATTAGATTCACAGGGTGTCTTTTAACATTTTCCCAAACTATGGCTTTCTCTGAGGGAGATCAAACTACTTCAGAGATTATTCCAACTACTGAACTCACACTTTGTAAAATCTTAGATAGGCCCCAAACATCCTCTCTATTTTTCATATACATTCCTTTCATTTCTAAGATCACAGGTACCCTCACATTCTGAGAACCTCAAGTCTACCCTCTGTCAGTTCTGTATAAAAAGTTTATTGTCAGCCTAGATGACACCTGAATCTCTAACTCACTAAGGGCTATCAACAGAAATCTCTATTACATTCTAACAATTCATATTTCTTCTATACTAACAAGGGTTCTTAAAGAGGATTTTTTTTTCTATGCCATGGCATTTATTGCTTTCCTTTTCATTCAAACATTAATGGCACTATTAGGACTTTCTATGAAACCAGCAAGTAGTTTATTTTTTTGTTGGTGCTTTATAGTTGTACATAATGATGGATTTGTTGTTACATATTTGTACATGAACACAATATAACAATATAATTTAGTCAATATCACTCCCCAGCACTCCCCCTCCCTCTACTTCTCCCAATCCCTAGGGGATTGTTTCTTCATAAAGGACACACCTATCTGAAACTAGATAATCAAATTTACAACTTTGGAACATTATCCAGTTAAGCAAGAGCACATCTTGCGACATAATTTTATGCATTCTAGTTTGGAAACGCCCCCTGGTGGACAAACTAGTATAGTTAACATTATAACAACCAGGGCTGAGGGTGTAGCTCAGTAGAGAGCACTTGCTTACAGTCCCCTGATAATCATTAGAGTGAGCCCAGAGGGTTAACATGCCCTCCAGTTGGGTCTACTCCATTATGAAAACCAGCCAAAATAGACTGTGATAACTTCACCACCTTTTACTCTTGGCTTTTCTGCTGCCCTACCTTAAAAAAAAAAATCACGATACAATCATTAATAGGAAAATATTCAGGGGTTAAGAGCCCATGGGTTCAATTTCCCAATACCAAGAAGAGAGAGAGAGAGAGAGAGAGAGAGAGAGAGAGAGAGAAATATTTATTGTTCCAATTCATGTTATTATGCTGTCCAAGTTATTAGCTACTATAATGGCGAAATATTTTGGGAAAATGCATGGGAGCGGTAATGAACCTATGCAATGACAGGAAGTAAGTAATTAGTATGTCCATTCTCCAGCAGCACATAATACTTAATCCCCACTGGAAAAAGTGTTTTTAATGTATATATATTTAGTTGTAGTTGGACACTATATTTTTATTTTATTTATTTATCCTTATGTGGTGCTGAGGATCGAACCCAGCGCCTGGCACATGCTAGGTGAGCGTTCTACTGCGCAGCCACAATTTCAGCCCCAACAGGAAAATTATTAAACCAAAATTCCATATATCAAACAAGAATGCAGTAGGTATGTTATTATTTGAAAAAAGTAAAAATTTTATAAAATAAATATATAGTTATATATATTAATCTCTTTTAATATATTTTTTAATTTTTAAAAAATATTTATTTCTTTTAATTGTACACAGTATCTTTGTTTTATTTATTTATTTTTGTGTGGTGCTGAGGATCAAACCCAAGGCCTCGCATGTGCTAGGCTAGCGCTCTACAGCTGAGCCACAACCCCAACCCCTATTTTTAAAATTTTTAGTTAAATTATTTTGTTTACTTGTGTTTATGTGGTGCTGAGGATCAAATCCAGTGCCTCATGTGTACAAAGCAAGTGCTCTGCCACTGAGCCACAAACCCAGCCCTATATATTAATCTTTAAAAACAATTTTTTTAGTTGTAGGTGGGCACAATACCTTTATTTTACTTTTTTTTTTAACATGGTGGTGAGGATCAAACCCAGTACCTCACATATTACCACTGAGCTACAGCTCTAGCCTGTACCCCCCAACACAATTATTTATTTATTTATATGTATATTCATGACTGTTTCTTTCTCCCCAACCCTAAGGGCCACAATTATCTATAGTCAATGAGACAAATCAGGTTATTTCACTTGTGGTGGCCCTGTGTGCAATGGCTGCATACAGTAGACTCTTCGGTAGCATACACAGCTTTAATGGGTATCCTAAGGGACCTTAGAGACAGTCCTTCCTATTGTACATTCATGCCTCTGATCTTCTGCTTTTCCCAGTCTAGGCTCCAGACAAGTATGCAGGTGCCTTTGAGAAGCCCAAGGCACAGTGGCAAGGATTTACTTTGGCCAACCCATAGTATCCATCAGCACCAAGCTGAAAAACAAGCAGCATATGATGGAGGCCCTAAATAGGGCCAAGTTCTATTTCCATGGCTACCAGGAGATCCACATTTCAAAAAAGTAGGGGTTTACCAAGTTCAATGCAGATGAATTTGAAGACGCTACTGAGAAGCAGCTTATCAATGATGTGTATAGGGTCAAATACTTCCCCAATTGCAGTCTCCTGGTCAAATAGCAGGCCCTGCCCTCATGAGAATTCCACTGTGATACCCTCTCCTAAATCATGCCCACTGATAAATTTTACTTCCTTTCAAAAAAAAAAAAAAAAAAAAAAAAACAAAGATAGCAATTAAAAACTCTGGAAATCTTTTCAACAAAGCTAGGAAGCCTCAAACAGAGAAAGCTTACAGAATGGATCCTTAAAACCTTTTTTTTTTTTTTTTTTTTTTTTTTGGTACTGGAGATTGAACTTTACCACTCAGTCATACACAATCCCAGTCCTTTTTATTTTAAGACAGGGTCTCACTAAGTTGCTTAGGGCCTCATTAAGTTGCTGAGGTTGGACTTGAACTTGTGATCCTCCTCTTCAGCATCCCAAGTCGTTGGAATTAGGCATGTGCCACTGTGTTTTGTTCCTTTTTTTATTTTTCCAAAGATTCACATATTTATTACTGAACCAACTGAACTGGGTACTATGATGCTTTCATACCTAAAGAAAGATTAGCTTCCCAGGTAACTATGCCCATCTGTCCTAACAGTGATGATATTTTCAGCTTGACATGGAAAGTTGATCAGGACCATGATACAGCATAAATACATGATACAGCATCTCATGTGGAATTCCTTGTAGACCCAGGTTGATTTTCCTCCACTGTCTCCTCTTGGAGTTGTACCTGATTTTATTAGCAGTTTCCATCTGAATCCATTGGGGAATGGAATGATTTTGCTTTTGTTTCTTGGTTAGGAATTTGTTGATCCTGAAAGCCTTGTGAGAAGACGCAGTGAGGGATGGAATCAAGCACACACATCATGACAACAGGAAAAAGCCCTGAAATAATCTGTTTTTGTTTTTGTTTTGGTACTGGGGATTGAACCCAGGGGCACTTAACCACTGAGCCATATCCCCAACCCTTTTTATTTAGATAAAGGGCCTTGCTAAATTGCTGAGGCTGGCTTTGAATGTGCCCTCCTACCTCCTGAACTGCTGGGATTACAGGTGTGTGCCACCTCACTGGGCTAGATTTCCATTTTTTATCTCCTCTGTTTTCAATATGATGTTGCCATCCTGTCCTTCCTGTTTCTCAAGCAAACCTGCCTATCCCTGTCTTAGGATTTTTGGAGTAGCTGTTCCTTCCGCCCAGAACACTTTCCTTCTATGGTTTCATGTGGCCGGCAGCTTCTTGTTATTCAAAACTCAATGCAACTATCACTTCCTCAAAGTAGCCAGTGTGCATGAAAGTGCTGGCACATGCACACACACACACACACACACGCACACACACACACACACCCATCACATGAACATATCACCATGGTTTATTTTCTTCATAGCAGATATGGATTTATCTATTTAATTTTCCCACTTGTTTATAGATCATTTATTTCCTCTCCAGTTAGAACCCAAGATACAAGTAAAAATAGATACTCAAATTACTGGTTAATAAGTCTCATTTTGCTGATTAATAAATCTATTTTTCTTTTTTGCCTGTTTGGGATTGATAATATTTTTCTGAACTCATGCTTAAGATCAATACAGACTTTTCACAGAGGCTGCTCAGCCAGCCAGGAAATGGGAAATTAGCATCTCCTTCTGTATACATATATCAAAAGGGAAGGATTGAGCTAGAGCATTCAAAAGAATGATCCAGGGGCTAGAGTTGTGGCTTAGTGGTGGGGCACTTGCCTAGCATGTATGGGGCCCTGGGTTCAGTTCTCAGCACCGCATATAAATGAACTAATAAAATAAAGATCCATCAATATCTAAAAAAATATATTTTTTTAAAAAAGAATGAGCCATGTAGAAGTATGGAATCTGGATAAACTATTAACTTCTGCATGTTCTGTGAATAAAATAGAAAATGTCCAATATGAATTCTGCTTGGAGTAGAGTAATGTGGGGGTTGAATGGGTAGTGATGTTGAGCAAGGAAGGGAAAAATAAATTATGTCCTGGGGAGTTAGTATACTGGGCCTATTGTGTTATTTCTGATCATCTTGACACATCATAGAATGAAAGAACTTCTTTAAGAACAAAAATTTAAGGAGAGAAGAGACTTAGGCCTATCTGACAAATCAAGTTTCATTGGGAATGTTGATGGAAAGGTGACTCCAGCATGCAGTGCCTAGAAGCCTTGCTAACTGTGCAGACTTTGATGAAAGCGACTGAGAGGTAGAGGGTCTATTAAAAGGGCCCATCCTGGAGCACTCAGAGGCAAAAAGAAAACCTAGTCTCCACATCCTCATTTGACAAAGAATTGACTATGAAATTTCTCCCCCACACCTTCCCAGTCTATTTTCTGCTCTAAGGATATGAAAATAGAGACCCAATGCTCACATATGGGGATTCAGCTCTACCCCCAGACAATTTGGTTACATCCTACACTCAAAATTAGTTTCCTTCCACATAGAATCAAAACTTCCAAATTAGCAGTCATTATCTTTTTTTCCCCAGTACTGGAGCTTGAACTCAGGGTTACAGTCATTCGCATTAAAAGGCAATGCCTGCCTTTTTTCAGCCATTGTGGTGCAAGCACTGAATTTGGTTTCTCACCATGTCTTCTCATAAGACTTTCAGGTTCAAGAGATTTTTGGCCAAGAAACAAAAGCAAAATCGTCTTATTCCCAGTGAATTAGAATAAAAACTGGTAATAAAATCAGGTGCAATTCCAAGAGGAGACACTGGAGAAGAAACAAGCTGGGTCTATAAGGAATGACAGGAAATGGCACACGTATTTATCAAGGCTGTGATCATCTTGTCATCATGTCCACCAAAAAATGTCTGTACTCTCTGAACAGTTGGGGAAATTTAATTGGGAATGTGTGCTTTCTTTGGTGTCACAGCTGGAGTACTGGTTTTGGTTGGTTTGCTAATAAATATGTGAAACATTTGAACTGCAAAAAAAAAAAAAAGGCAATACCCTAGGGCTGAGGCTGGGGCTCAATGGTAGAACACATGCCTGGCATGCGTGAGGCACTGGGTTCGATCCTCAGCACCATGTAAAATAAAATAAAGATATTGTGTCCACCTAAAACTAAAAAATAAATATTAAAAAAAAGGCAATGTCTTAGTCAGGCTTGGTATTGCATGCCTATAATCCCAGTAAATCAGGAGGATCACAAGTTCCAGGCCAGCCTTTATACCCTGTCTCCAAATAAAAATAAAAAAGCACTGGGGATGTAGCTCAGTAGTAGAGAACCCCTGGGTTCAATTTCCCAGTAGCACACATGTGTACACATACACATACACACACACCCTAAAGCTGTCCAAGAAAGAATATCTTTACAAATGTATAACATGAAAGTGATATGAAGACTAGTCAAGAGTAAGTTTCAGAGTGAGTAGCTATGGATATAAGAGTACGTGAGGTGAGCGGGGGAAGCTTTGAATGGTGAAGGAGAAGAATGGGAGAGGAGGCGACAGACCAAGAACAAAGATAAGGTTTCCTGAGTATTACTAGGCCTACAGGTGCAGAAACTTGTAGTAGCACTTATCCTCATAGCATTTTTTTTATCATTCTTGGTACAGGGGAAGACAACACAGCACAGGATTTATTCTGGAAGTGACACTTTGAAATGTCCAGGTTGATAGAAGGAAGGGATGCAAGGGACTTGAAAGTACTCCTGAGACAGTAGCACAGGTGACTATGAGGTCAGACTAGAAAGGGAAAGAAGAGGGAGGTCAGACCAAAGAGGCTACCATGGGACTAATAGTAATTGGGAAAACATAAGGATAGGATTGGAATAAGGACGGAAGGATAAGGGGCCTACAGGTCTCTGTGTGATCCAAGAATAAGAGTAGTAAAAGCGAAGGCATGGGAGAGCTGGAAAGAAAGGTGGAAGATAGAATGGTAGGTACCTTGGAGCTAAAGATATGTAACATAATTGAAGCAATTTCTAGGATGGTCACATGTAAGTCTGATTGACCTGGAGTGAAATACATGTCATTTGAGTTGACTAAGTCATGTAAGTATGAGGTATGGGGTTTGGTTTTCTTTCCTTTGCAGTTCTAGGAATGAATCCAGGAATGCTTTAACATTGAACTATATCCCCGTCCCTTTCATTTTTTTACAATTTTGACATAGGGTCTCCTAAGTTGCCCAGGCCGGCCTCAAACTTGCAGTCTTCCGGCCTCAACCTCCCAAGTTGCTGGGATTACAGGGATGTACCACTGTGCCCGGCAAGGTTTAGTGTTCCCTCCAAAGGAAAGGGAAGTTACCAGGCTATGCACAACATGGGTTTTAAGAGGTGCATAGTGAGCAAGGTGCTATGGAATCTTATAAATGTAAAATAGTAAGTATAAACTTGTGGATAAAAAATAAAAGTTGTAGAGAGATTTTTTCTCACCTGAGAGGAGTACTGGTTTGGTAATAAGAGAGAAAGCAGAAACATTCAAAATTCTCCCCTGCTCCTGTCATGTATGAATTATTGGAGACCACGAACCCCCAATGTAAAAAAGGTAGTACCAAGAGTAAGATTTTCAGAATAAGACAAGAAGAAGATTTGGGAGGAAAAAATATGAAGGAAAGGAGAATATCAAAGGAATCTTTGATAAAGGAAATACATATCTGGAAATTAGAGTAGAAAGATATTTTAGGGAGGAGAGCAATGGGAGGAGGAGGCATTGGTTTGGAAGTAGAGAAAAAGAGAACAGCGAATAATAGAGACTAAATGGTGAGATGTTTTTATTTTGAGTAAAATCTCTAAGAATAACGATTCAGCTGACCTTTACAAATGTATACCATTAGATGAATGGAACTCTGGAGTCCTATTCGTGCGGTCTCCTGACATGGCTATACTCTGATAAGGTCTCAGTGGTTTCTGGATCATGATATCCAGGCTGGAGAGCTAGGGGCTATGTTGGAGTGAGTCTAGGTTGACTCTATCATTCAATAAATTTCAGATATTATATACAGTTGAGTGGTCAATATATTCATTATTTATCCAATGAAAGATGTACTGGATGTAGTCGTAAATAAATAAATAAATAAAGTCTTCAAAAGGATGAAAATATTAACAAATCTCAGTCTGCCTTTCTTTTCCTTTTCTTTCCTGCCGCAGTCTGGCTGGGCAAATAACCGGGAGGTGAGAAGCAACTTGAAGGTTGAAGCGGGAACTACTTTATTGCAAGTGAACTCAGCGGGAACTGAGTGAAAAAGTAGCGGGCACCCAAGGTAGCAGAAGCCGCTCCTCTGCGGGACAGCAGAGGTATATATACCTAACTAATTACACACAGCTTGACTCAATTAACATCATCTAGATACAGCAGTCAGCTATTAAGGAATCCTCATCATCTTAATGGCTCGCTGGCGTTGCTTCACAAACCACTCCTCCTGGCAAACTGCCAAGTGCCATCTTGACTTGATTGCATCCCCAACACTTTCCCTACCCTTTCTTTCCTTCCTTCCTTCCTTCCTTCCTTCCTTCCTTCCTTCCTTCCTTC